CACAGAGAGACGGGCGGAATTCGCTTAGCACCACTGCGTCGCTTAGGAGAGCCAGAAATTACCGTGCGTTCGAGTCCCAGATTTTTCTTAATCGCGTTCCAACACTTGTTCGGGAGTCTCACCAAAGTAACAAATGTTATATTTGGGATAACAGATTCTAGTACTTTTTGGGGGTTGAGTCACGTCCGGGATTCGAACCCACACTTGCCAGAGTGAGGCACCTAATCGCCAGCACACAAAGTCAGCGATCAAACCCACTCAGCAACCGAGGCTTCCATAAAATTGAAAGTTCGACAACTGTTAGTCTAGATCACGTACTTTGAATACCCCTCTGACAAGTGTAAATTAGCACGGCTCCCATGGCCGAAAGCTATGAATACACAATGCCATTTAGAAAGTGGTCAAATGTAACAAATGTTATATTTGGGATAACACTTTCTTAGTAAAGGACGGATTCTAGTACTTTTTTGGGGTTGAGTCCAGTCCGGGATTCGAACCCACACTTGCCAGAGTGAGGCACCTAATCTCCAGCACACAAAGTTTACTAAGAAAGTGTTAACCCAAATATAACATTTGTTACATTTGACCACTTTCTAAATGGCATTGTGTATTCATTTCACCAAAGTGTTTCAGATTTTGCTGAGGAGCGACATAATGAAACGTGTCAACGCAGCTCAATGACGGTCAGATATCTTTGCAATGGATATATTTTATTAGCTCCAAAGTCTTTTATTGATAATAATCTTGGCTAAAAAACCCTATACGTTATCACTTCACTGTTTAGCGGTTTCAATGGTCTAAATTAAAGTATCCAAATAATGAAAAAAAATATTCTACTTATATTTTTTTCTAATATGTTTATAACGTATGAATATTATATTTGAAAAACTCAACATCACTTTTTCTCAATATTGTAACATAAAAGGATAACTGTAGAAAAAAAATATATGTTCATTTTATATTGATCAGTAAATTTCAATCGATTAACGTTTACTGCGAACAAAAGTGAATTTTGATCAAAGTCAAATTTGGACAATGTTCAAGATATGCTACATTATAATGGACGTTCTACTCCGCAAAGAGCATGGAATTCCTCTTTTCGATTATATGTTTGAAATCGCCATACTCGGAAATACTTTTTATTCCAGCTAGTTTCATTTTGGCATGGGGTTGCCCTTAAGACCTGTATCAGTTCCGACCCTCCCCCTCACAATAAGCGACCCGTGAAGATCCGGGGTAGAATAGGTCTTCAGCAACCCATGCTTGACGTAAAAGGCGACCATGCTTGTAGTAAGAGGCGACTAACGGGATCGGGTGGTCAGGCTCGCTGACTTGGTTGAAGCATGTCGTCGATCCCAATTGCGTGGATCGATGCTCATGATGTCAATCAGTGGATTGTCTGGTCCAGACTCGGTTATTTACAGACCGCCGTCATATAGCTGGAATATTGCTGAGTGCGTCGTAAACAACAACCAACCAACCTCACAATAAGCCGACACGCCGTTGTATAATGTAAACGTTTTCAAAGGGGCAGTAAACCAAAACTTGGAGCCACGTATACTCAGCAACAAAATTTCCTGTGACACGATGCCCGTGAAGATCCGGGGTAGAATAGGTCTTCAGCAACCCATGGTTGCCATAAAAGGCGACTATGCTTGTCGTAAGAGGCGACTAACGGAATCGGGTGGTCAGGCTCGCTGACTTGGTTGATGCATGTCATTGTATCCCAATTGCGTGGATCGATGCTAATGATGTCGATTAGTTACAGACCGCCGTCATGTAGCTGGAATATTGCTGAGTGCGGCGTTAAACAACAAACAAACAAACAAAAAACAGCATGCTTTTATACCCCGGTTTACATATGTACGTCATTTGCATGATTGCTGCATGAAAGACACTGTCATCAAACCATGCTTGCGTTTGTGATACATATTGCCTTGTATGAAACCGATTGGACATGGGTGTCACATAAGCCTTTGTTGCTGAATATATCATAATCAAAATAGTGAGTGAGTGTATTGGGTTTAACGCCGCTTTTAACAGTATTCCAGTTATATCACGGCGTGTCAGCTTAACGTGGGAGGAAAGCCCGAAGTGATGCAGGTCTCAGGCGTTTACCACTTCGGTGAAACCCACGAGCACGGGTATGGTGCTGACAAACCTAGAAACATAATCGGGGCGAACTGGGATTCGAACCCACAATCATAGGTTTCTGGCGTGCCCAAGGGACGCAACTCTGCACAGCGAATCGCGGCGCCTTAGACGACTGGGCCACCCGTGCCCCTTATCAAAATAGCACAAAAAGATTTTCCTTGTTCCGCTGAAGATTACGTTGGATGTTGTATTGTTAGAAATCAATCTTAACAAGTTTTTCATGTTTCATCCCGCCTTGACAATTTTCCTTGTACACATCTCAGATGACTACAGATGCATGACAGTGGTTAATATGATGTAAATTGCATTTTCCTCATCACCAATATCAGAACGCAATTAAATTAAAATTTATTCGCCTCTCTCTCAATTCTCAATGACAAACCTGACAATGGTTAAGATGTAAATTGCTTTTTCCTTATCAACCGATAGCATAACGGAATTAAATTAGATATCATTTGCTTCACTGAATTTTTGGACGCACTGAAAAAAAATGTATACAGCACTAGAATGTAAAATATTAATGCAAAGCTGTTCAGTCGAATAACTTCTTTGTTTGCGCGTGGTCTGTTCCAACAAGGAAGATATTTGATTCATGTTGTATTACATTCTCACATGGCCGATCACGTTACTATGTCAATGGTGCAGGAAGACCTTAGCTTGGTATTCATACCTGGCAAAGTAAGATAGAGCAATAGTAGATGGCGAGTGAGTGAGTTGGGTTTAACGCCGATTTTAACAGTATTCCAGTTACATCAAGCTGCCTCAGCTTCATGTGGGAGGAAAGCCAGAAGTGACGCAGGTCTCAGACGTTTACCACTTCGGTGAAACCCACGAGCACGGGTATGGTGCTGACAAACCTAGAAACAATTGGGGCGAACCGGGATTCGAACCCACAATCATAGGCTTCTGGCGTGCCCAAGGGACGCAACTCTGCAGTGCGATTCGCGGCGCCTTAGACGACTTGGCCACCGTGCCCCCCTCTACAAGAAAGCGGACCACAAAGGTTATATGAAGAGCGCGATGCCTGGTATGATTCCACAAAAGCACGACTGGGTAATAAGACAAAATATACTTGCTGAAATATTGTTAGATTCACATTGACGAGGCAGGCAAGATATCAGAAAACCTGTTATGAGTGTTGGTTGGTTGGTTTGTTGTTTTACGCCGCACTCAGCAATATTCCAGCTATATGACGGCGGTCTGTAAATAATCGAGTCTGGACCAGACAATCCAGTGGGTAATATCATGAGCATCGATCCAAGCAATTGGGATCAATGACATGCATTAACCAAGTCAGCGAGCCTGACCACCCGATCCCGTTAGTCGCCTCTTTGGGTCACACGCGATTATTTACAGACCGCCGTCATAGAGCTTGAATATTGCTGAGTGCGGCGTAAAACAACAAACCAACCGACCAGCATGGTTTTCCTTTTTTAAACATATAAAATTTGATTTTCAAAATACCAAAAATACAATTTCACATAATACACAACTGTTGATGAGTATCTTAGACATCTTATCTTTAAAATCATAAAGTTGGCTTGTTTGGGCTCAAATTTAAAACATTTCACACATGGTAGATGTCATGTGGTTGCACATGCATGCTTACCCCAGTCTACATTGAACCTATTTATTTTACACAACATTACCAGCCACAGATTACTGTTTACAAACAATGAGTGATTGTTGAAGAGACGTAAATCCAATTTGAGTTCTTTCAATTTCAAAACGAACGAGGTATACTAGGTGCGTCTGAGCAGTCCGGGTTAAAATATGTCCCCAATACCCCAATGTTGACTTAGGTGGGGATCGGGTGGTCGGGCCCCGTGGCTTGGCTGATTGTGTTTCATCGCACCTTATTCATAAGATTTAACAGAGCCGATTGTATACGAGTCCAACTTCATCATGAGCAGACCGCCTCCGTGGTCTAGTGGTAGGGCGTCCGCCCGGAGAGCGGAAGGTCCGGGGTTCTCGATCCTCGGCCGCGTCATACCAAAAGACGTTAAAAGATGGTATTTGTTGCTACCCTGTCTGGCGCTCGGCATTAATGGGCTAAAACAAGGACTGGTCGGCTCGGAGTCAATATACTGTGTCTGAGTGGGGTATTCATGTTAAACTGCAGCATGGTATCTCAGTAAGTTAGCACTATAAATCGGCATCAGTCCGGACTAGTACAAGCAGCCACACACACACACACGTGCATGCACGTCGCTATATACGTGCAATAATCTTAGACGCGACGTTAAACCCAATTTAACCTCATCATGAGCATGTGTTGATGAATCACTATCAAATAGTGAAGACACCAGGTGTTCGCGGACAGGTGAGCATTTCCTGCTTAAAACCATACCCACTCACTCACTCACTCACGCGAATCTTGGATACAATTTTACGATCAGCAGTTGTACTGTTAAAGGACACGCACTCTTTACCCATTCCGCCACGACATATGCAGTTATATCTTAACGTTTTTCTTCACTTTTAAGCAGCAAAATCTCTACACAATGGACGTAATTCAAAATAAACATTCCGTTTTTATTAATTTAAAAAAAATCCAGTATGGTACTCGATCGTGTCACTGGATTATCTGGTTCATCCATCTCTTGATAATCTGGTATATTTACAGGCTGACGTCGCATGGCAGCACTTTTTAATGCAAATGAATGGCGGGTGCTGCCGGTAGGGCGGGTCATGGACCGACAATTTATGTTTACAGGTCACCTCATGCAGCTGGAATTTTAAAGAATGCGGCGTCCAACAACAAGCAAAATATTGTTGAGGGAGTCGTGATGTGGGAAAATATTTCAAAGATAAACTTTAACTTCGACAATTTATTTATTACCTACCTGAACTCGTTTGGATATATATTTGGTCTGTTGCTGATCCGTGGCGACAAGTCCAATCGCCATAATCTTGTCCTGCTTGGAAGGATTGAATTGTGAGGCTAACCGCTGATCCTGCGCTTGTGATGAGACTGTACCCTGCATCCGTAGAGTTGCAGGCTCCAGTATTTAGTTGACATGTACCCACGACTGTGGCATTCAGTTCGAACTCGACTTCCGATGGCGAACTCGAGTCAAGTGAACAGTTCAGGGCTAAAGACAGATTTGCGACAGGGATGCGGCGATCCATCACAAGACTGATTGCTGAAACTGAATAAATTTGAGAATTTACTGAATTTACACCGCGAAACACACAATGATCTTTACATTAATGATTACCAAAATATTTTGAAAATAGAAATCAGAGAGTTTACTTTTACTGCAGTTTTACAGCATTTGATTTGAAATAACTTTGCGACAACAGAAGTAGGGAGATAACAATGTGATTTGTCGTTTTGGTAAGTTTTCAAAAGCAGATGTATTTCCAGCAGAAGTGTAGTGTTGATCAAGTTGATCAAGTGAGGACTAGAGTTACGTCCCTTAGGAAAAGATTCCATGATCTGATTGCAGTCGGATTGCGGTCGAATTGCGGTCGGATTGCGAATTATGGAGCTGTCTGCGATTGCGGGCGATTGATGTGATTGTACTGTTCCCATGTGTAATGCTGCACCCTAGGTTGGCCCATGATACGTACATATTTGCGTACCCGTAACGTATTCATGACTTGAAGGGGGCACTGGTTGCCCAGTCGTCTAAAGCGCCGCGATTCGCTGTGCAGAGTTGCGTCCCTTGGGCACGCCAGAAACCTAGGATAGTGGGTTCGAATCCCGGTTCGCCCCGATTATATTTCTAGGTTTTTCAGCACCATAGCCGTGCTCGTGGGTTTCACCTTAGTGCTAAAAGTCTGAGCCCTGCATCATTTCGGGTTTTCCTTCCACATTAAGCTGACACGCCGTGATATGACTGGAATACTGTTAAAAGCTTACTCGCTCACTCATGACATGAAAGCTGACCTTGACCTTGCGCGAGCCTGAACCTGCGATGATGTCTGACAGAATAACCATTGTTTGAACGTGGAAACAACTACAAGAGGTAACAGGTACTAACGGTAGATGTAAGGAGACTAACGGTAGATGTAAGAAGACTAACGGTAGATGTAAGGAGACTAACGGTAGATGTAAGGAGACTAACGGTAGACGTAAGGAGACAAACGGTAGATATAAGGAGACTAACGGTAGATGTAAGAAGACTAACGGTAGATGTAAGGAGACTAATGGTAGACGTAAGGAGACTAACGGTAGATGTAAGAAGACTAACGGTGGATATAAGGAGACTAACGGTAGACGTGAGAAGACTAATGGTAGACATAAGGAGACTAACGGTAGATGTAAGAAGACTAACGGTAGATGTAAGGAGACTAACGGTAGATGTAAGAAGACTAACGGTAGATGTAAGAAGACTAACGGTAGATGTATGGAGACTAACGGTAGACGTACGAAGACTAACGGTAGATGTAAGGAGACTAACGGTAGATGTAAGAAGACTAATGGTAGATGTAAGAAGACTAATGGTAGATGTAAGAAGACTAACAGTAGATATAAGGAGACTAACGGTAGATGTAAGGAGACTAATGGTAGATGTAAGGAGACTAACGGTAGATGTAAGAAGACTAACGGTAGATATAAGGAGACTAACGGTAGATGTAACAAGACTTACGGTAGATGTAAGGAGACTAAAGGTAGACGTACGAAGACTAACGGTAGATGTAAGGAGACTAACGGTAGATGTAAGCAGACTAATGGTAGATGTAAGAAGACTAATGGTAGATGTAAGAAGACTAACAGTAGATATAAGGAGACTAACGGTAGATGTAAGGAGACTAATGGTAGATGTAAGGAGACTAACGGTAGATGTAAGAAGACTAACGGTAGATGTAAGGAGACTAACAGTAGATGTAAGAAGACTAACGGTAGATGTAAGAAGACTAACGGTAGATGTAAGGAGACTAACGGTAGACGTACGAAGACTAACGGTAGATGTAAGGAGACTAACGGTAGATGTAAGAAGACTAATGGTAGATGTAAGAAGACTAATGGTAGATGTAAGAAGACTAACAGTAGATATAAGGAGACTAACGGTAGATGTAAGGAGACTAACGGTAGATGTAAGGAGACTAACGGTAGATGTAAGAAGACTAACGGTAGATATAAGGAGACTAACGGTAGATGTAACAAGACTAACGGTAGATATAAGGAGACTAACGGTAGACGTACTAAGACTAACGGTAGATGTAAGGAGACTAACGGTAGATGTAAGAAGACTAATGGTAGATGTAAGAAGACTAATGGTAGATGTAAGAAGACTAACAGTAGATATAAGGAGACTAACGGTAGATGTAAGGAGACTAATGGTAGATGTAAGGAGACTAACGGTAGATGTAAGAAGACTAACGGTAGATATAAGGAGACTAACGGTAGACGTAAGAAGACTAACGGTAGATATAAGGAGACTAACGGTAGATGTAACGTGGAAGATAGGTATGAGTATTACTGCTAGTTGTAAATGTATTCATAGGAGATGTAACTAGCACTTCCAATGGAAGCAACAAGTACACCCGCTAGATATAACAGGGACTCCCAGTAGATGTAACAGAGACACCCAGTAGATGTAACAGAGACACCCAGTAGATGTAACAGAGACATCCAGTAGATGTAATAGAGACACCCAGTAGATATAACAGAGACTCCCAGAAGATGTAACAGAGTCTCCCAGTAGATGTAATAGAGACACCCAGTGGATGTAACAGAGACACCTAATAGATGTAACAGAGACTCCCAGTAGATGTAACAGAGACTCCCAGTAGATGTAACAGAGACACCAAGTAGATGTAACAGAGACTCCCAGTAGATCTAACAGAGACTCCAAGTAGATGTAACAGAGACTCCCAGTAGATGTAACATATACTCCCAGTAGATGTAACAGAGACACCTAATAGATGTAACAGAGACTCCCAGTAGATGTAACAGTGACTCCCAGTAGATGTGACAGAGACACCCAGTAGATGTAACAAAGACTCCCAGTAGATGCAACAGAGACTCCCAGTAGATGTAACAGAGACACCCAGTAGATGCAACAGAGACTCCCAGTAGATCTAACAGAGACTCCCAGTAGATGTAATAGAGTCACCCAGTAGATGCAGCAGAGACTCCCAGTAGATGTAATAGAGTCACCCAGTAGATGCAACAGAGACTCCCAGTAGATCTAACAGAGACTCCCAGTAGATGTAACAGAGACACCTAATAGATGTAACAGAGACACCAAGTAGATGTAACAAAGACTCCCAGTAGATCTAACAGAGACTCCCAGTAGATGTAACAGAGACTCCCAGTAGATGTAACAGAGACACCTAATAGATGTAACAGAGACACCGAATACGCTTGGTTTTCGCAGTAGGGATATGTTCAAGTAATATGTTTCTACCATGAAACATTTTTATTTTATAAAAACAACAACATATAAAACATTTTCGAGCGTCAAGTTTCTTTTTGAAATTAGTTTAAAGGAATTAGACTTAATATGGTAGCAAGCATAAATATCCAATAAATCACAGTCTCCATAATTATTACATTATAAGCAAAATATTGATTTTTGATTGGAAAATTGACCTCCATTTGGACAAAAAGGCGGCCATTTTGAATTTGCAGTGGCTAAACGTTTTTTTTCTTCTCACATGAACTAAGGCGACCGACCATGCAAATTTTGGTGCTTGTACCATCATTTGAATAATCGTGCTGTTCCTGGCAATGAAGGGGGAGGTAACTCTGTACAGTTCATCGTTGCGCATTGAACCACACAGCCATCAATGAACCCACATTTAAACTACAGAAAACTACGGTTATAAGGAACACGCTTATAACGAACTGACGGATAAAATGAACTGATTTTTTTGTCCCGACTATTTGCCATAGTTGATGTATATATGCTTATAACGAACTACGGTTATAACAAACTATAGTTAGAGGTCCCTTTGAGTTCGTTATAACCGTAGTTTACTGTACAGCAAACTACCGTTATAACGAACACGCTTATAACGAATTGACGGATATAACGAACTTACGTTTTTGGTCCCGACGATTTGCTGTAGTTACACTGTATATATGCTTACAACGAACTACGGTTATAACGAACTAAAATTAGTAGTACCTTTGAGTTCGTTATACTGTATGTCGAAAGTTTATGTGAAAACATAAAAAAATGCGAATTCGATCACACAAAGCAACAGTTACTGAAACCAGATTTTACAGATAACGCAAGTGTAGTATTTCCATTTTGTCCGGGCTGATATAAAAAGCGACCTGGTAAAGTGAACATTATTACTATGTCGCTTTTTATATCAGCCCGGACAAAATGGAAATACTACACTTGCGTTATATGTTAAATCTGTTGTCAGTAACTGTTGCTTTGTGTGATCGAATTCGCAATTATTATATTATTATCAAACAGTATTTTCATCGTCATTTGAAACCAAAAAGTAATTTGAACTTTTGCAAGCGTAAACCTCTCCAAGCTGTTTAAGTGAAGAATTCCACTTATCGGGTTTCCACTTATCAGGCTTCCACTTATCGGGGCTTCCACTTATCCCGCTTCCACTTATCGGGCTTCCACTTATCGGGCTTCCACTTATCGGGGCTTCCACTTATCCCCCTTCCACTTTTCCCGCTTCCACTTATCGGGCTTCCACTTATCGGGCTTCCACTTATCGGGGCTTCCACTTATCCCCCTTCCACTTTTCCCGCTTCCACTTATCGGGCTTCCACTTATCGGGCTTCCACTTATTGGGCTTCCACTTATCGGGGCTTCCACTTATCGGGCTTCCACTTATCGGGCTTCCACTTATCCCGCTTCCACTTATCGGGCTTTCACTTATCGGGCTTCTACTTATCGGGCTTCCACTTATCGGGCTTCTACTTATCCCCCTTCCACTTTTCCCGCTTCCACTTATCGGGCTTCCACTTATCGGGGCTTCCACTTATTGGGCTTCCACTTATCGGGGCTTCCACTTATCGGGCTTCCACTTATCGGGCTTCCACTTATCCCGCTTCCACTTATCGGGCTTCCACTTATCGGGCTTCCACTTATCGGGGCTTCCACTTATCCCGCTTCCACTTATCGGGCTTCCACTTATCCCGCTTCCACTTATCGGGCTTCCACTTATCCCGCTTCCACTTATCGGGCTTCCACTTATCGGGCTTCCACTTATCGGGGCTTCC